GGGGGATACTTGGCAAAATTCATTTGCTATAATCTCAAAAGAATTTTTGGATCATTTGGCAAGGGAGTCAAAGGACTGCTGCCTCTGTGACTCGTAGCTCCGTCTATGCCACCGGTTTCTCAGTGTCACAGTGTCACCTCCACCTTGGCTGAGGGGAACAAGGTTCAGAGGCCTTTCCCCAGGAGTTGCCAAGCCCACTTGGACTTGGTCAGAGTGGATGAAACAATGATCTCCTGGATCGATGCAGCAGCAAAGAAGGTTAAACACTCACTTTTTCTTCCCCAGACAGGAGAAAGCGCCCGGCCGCCGTGTGGCCACTGGAGGCTGTGGCTGTGGTGGTGGCTGGGTGGGACAGGAGGCACCGGACTGTTCTAAACAGACGGACTTGCTCTGACTTCTACAGTGAAACGAGGACCCTGCATATCAGCTAAGCATTCACTTTCAAACAGGCCACCACCAGGAAAGCAAAGGACCCAGGCCTAGGCCAGCCCCAGAAGAGAGTCATCGTCCCTTTGCCCCTGGAATGAACTCCGTGCCTCCCATCGGTAACTAACATTTTCCAGTCTGTTGTGACGACCCGTATTTTCTTTACTCTGGCAGATCGGTGTCGGAGGGACGCGGGAAGGCCCTTGGGTAAGGAGCTGGGAGGGCCCACGTTGGCAGCGGGGCGCGTGCGGGTCCTTGCTGGCGCTCCCACTTAGCTGGCCTGGCTGCCGAGTCCTTCTTGGACCAGCCTCTCGCTGAGCGCCCACAGGGCCCGGGCTGTCTCCTCGCTCTGAGCCTCCGCGGAGGGCAGACATCGGCAGCAGTTGTTGAAATACATGCCTCCCAGGCCCTCCAGCTCGGGAGCAGCGGCGCAGTAGACGGTGGTGGCAGCTCCTTGTTGCTGGAAATCAAAGGGGAGAGACCATAAAATATATATATATATATATATTTTTTTTTTAAGAAAAGAGGTGATGAGATGACTTTCTTCTGACTGGGAATTGGCAAGCCCCTCCCTACCCGGCCCAGGTGCCCCTGGATCTCAACAGGGCCAAGGGCAGGAACTCAGCGCAGGGCTGTAAAAGGTAGGACGTGAACGTCCTGGGAAAGCGAGCCCGTAAGCCCCGCTCTGAAAGCTGGTCTGACTCTTTACACCTCGCCTAGGAAAAGGCTTTGGAAATAAACACGCGCATCAGTAAACCACATCAGCCCTCTCTCCCCAGCAAAGAGCAAAAGACGGCATCCTTCTGAACACGCAAGAAGAAATCCATCCCACCCCTTGACTTCTCGGTGCAAAATGCATTTTGACGCCAAGATGTTTCTAGAACCTTCTGTCTGAATTAAATCCACAACTCTAATAATGGCCCATCAGGCAGAAAACCCAGGCAAGACTGGTGCCAGATCTCTCCTTTACGCTTTGCCCAGGGTGCTGCAATGCTGTGTTAAGGGGAAGGGTTTGCAATGCTGTGTTGAAGTGTTCAAAACCCATATATGCAGATTCCTCGCCATGCATACGTGTCTCACGCAGACACACTTATTAATTCACCCAGAGCCTATGAAAACCTTTTTCTAAATGTCATAGTCATCCCACATGTTGCAATGAGTGCCACTGCTCACTTTCAGTTCACCTTTTGAGTAGCAGTTGGCACTGTGGCTAGGGCTGTGTGTGGGGAGGCACCATAGCATCCCGGCTGACAGGATGCTATCAGGGATGCTGTAAAGAGGGCAAGAAATCACTTTGCTTTGCAAGCCGTAATTAAAAATAATAGGCTGGGGTTCGTAGGGAGACACGGTAGGCACGGCTCTAATTTAAAACCAATACGGTTTATCTGGCATCTTACGATTATTTATGTGATCACAGCCCTTGCTGCATCAACTAATTACAGGCTGGTGGGGAGGGGGATTGCAGAAGAGGGTGAGGAAAGGTAACTGGGGGTGAGGTCACCGTTAGAAAAACACTAAGGACACTTGATTGAGGGGGAAATGAGTTTCTGTCCACCCTAAGGTTACCATTTTTCTGCCCCTATAGGGTTTAAATTGTGCCCAAGAAGAATGCTTCCTGGAAAATCATGCCCCCCCAGATAGTTTGGTCTGTGTTCACTATGACTGCAGGCGAGAACCCTTAGGCATCAAGGTCATGCTGAGGATCAGGGTCTCAAGATGTTATGATTTTAGGAAAGTGCTACAAAACAGACTTGGGTTTTGTTTGTTTGTTTGTGGTGAACTTCAATGTCAGGGTCCGTTGTCATATCTGAATTCGTGTGAAAACCAAATGGTCACATACAGCCAAGGAACACGATTGCGTGGAGGCGTGGGGGGCTGAGTGGGAGTGGGGTCGGGACGTGAGTCCTGATCGGAGCTGGCTGCCTGACGGCCCGGGAGAAGCCCCATTCGTTCAGAACTTGAACTCCTGACAGGCCTTGAAGTTAATTACATAGCAATTGGTTTGTTAGGTCCCTGGCCCCCTCACCATGCCCACTCCTCAAACAGCCAGTTATTTTCTTGGATTCAGCTCTTTCTTTTGAAATTGATTTGTGAGGCTCCGGTCTAATGGAAATAAGTTCCTGTCATCCATATTTTTTTCGCGGAATTATTGTTCCTGATAACACTTTGTTTAGCACCTGATACATTTCTCTGAAGAACTTTGAGAGGCTTATCTGACTCCTTGCATCTCGTGGGGAAGCAAAGTGCCTCTAAAGACAAACTGAAGAATCGCGATGTTCTTCCCGCTAACTCAAGCCAAATGTCATCTTGGCCTCCCTTCTTAGCAGAGTTCAGTTGGAGATGGTGTTTTGCATAGTTTTCTGGATATCTATCTCAGATTTCCATTTTACTTTGCAGCTGTCAAAACCACCAAAGAGTGGTCAGGTGATTTACCATCAACTCTAAGGGGTGAGAGAATTCAGTCGGCTCATCCCCAAATCCAGGCTCCCCAGCCCCCACTCGAGAGCCTTATAATATCGGCATTTACAGAGCAGGACAAACTGGCCTTTCAGAGTGCCACCCATCCCGAGAAAAGATAAAAGTAGGCCACTTGGGAAAGCAGAGAGCGGAATTCTTCCAAACCCAATGTAATATTTTGCCACTGTGACCTTCTAAAATGATATCGTATTGCACCCTTGCATTGTTGGAATGGTATTTTTTGCAAAGAAATTCTGCACATGCATAGATTCAGAATTGCGTTGATGAGGGAGCCGGGGGCCTGCATTTTCCCTCCATGAAATCTGAGAGCAATTGCAATGACCTCATTTCATATACACCTAAATTTGGCTACCATGCTGAAAACCATACATTTTAGAAAAGCCCAATCTTTCATCAAGAGCCGACTTTGATTCTCTTGCCACACGGCCTGGGGTGATGCACAATCTTACTCCTTTCATGAGTGGCTCTGGCTTTGTAGAAGAACACGGGACAGAAGGGGCACCTGACAGCAAAGATCACCTCCTCCACTCCAGGATCAACTGTGTGTTTGGGAAAGTCTCCCTCTCCGGCTCACGCTCAACTGGTACCTAATTTACTTTCCTTTCTTGCCGGACAGTGAAGTAGTGACGAGCTATTTTAGTCCCAAGCCCACGACCCTTTTGGCTTCTCGGGGAAATCTCTTTTCAGCTGCACCGATGGCAGACTCTCTCGGAGTGACATCTTTATATGAGCAGATGTGACGACAGTTTAATAACAAGTTCTAATTTTTGGTTCATCATTTTTTGGGTCTGCCTGTCATCAGAATGAGACTGAGCCACATTAGGGAACTCTCATTAGTCAACAGGCCGGCCCTGCAGATACAAAATAAAACATTTTGAAACTAACTGATAAAAATAAATTTAAAAGAGCACTTTCATCAGCGTCAAGTGACTTTCATACCACTTTGGGGGGGGGGGGCATCAGTACATAATTCAGAAAAGATGAAAGTCATAGTAAAGGAAACGTTATCAACTCCTCCGTTAGAAAATATCTGAGCCATGTCTTGCAGGTTGTCACCGCTGTTTACTGATCCATCGTGATAAAATAATAGCAACTTCTTGACATATAAACGCTGGCTAGAGCTATGGGTCTCCCTCAGCGATTTTTTTGGGGGGAACAATTTCTCAGAAGCCCGTAGGACTTCCATAACTGCTAATCAGGGGAGTGGGTGGGCTGTCTCCATCCTGTAGAATTGGCAATGAGTTAGGGTGTGGCTGGCACAGGGCTGAGAATTTCTGGGAAGCCCAGCAGAATCTTTAATCACTCCCGAATGCCACTTCTGATCTGATCAAACATTTGTGAGCTGCCAGAGGAGGACTGTGCCATCTATCTTTATAGTGTATGTAAAATTACCCACGATTCTTGTTGGGGATTAAGTTAAAAGTATCTTGGTAATAAAAGTTCATCATTCCCCTTCAGAAATCATTTGTCAGATTTGCAGCACAGTCTCCCACTACAGGAAGGTGGGTTGAGAAGGCAGTTGCTGTTTATTTATAGTTGAGGCCCTGAGACCTAAATTATCCATCCTTCCCAAACCCTTCGTTGGGCTGAAAATGTTAAGTAGCCGCTTTTCATCAACATTTATTTGATAACTGCTAGCCATCAATTTGTAGCTGTCAGCATGGAATCAAATGAATATTGACTCTTTTAAAGGAATAGGTACAGAGGTTTCTAATAAACAATATACAGTAAAGGAAAACCCACCCCCATATTGATATTTGTAATGCATTGGTTAGTAGTCTAACCACCCACATATTGATATTCGTAATGCATTGGTTAGTACTCTAATATAACTTACGTTTTAATAAGAACACATATCACACACTTAATGTTTAGTTTTCGAGTTCCTCTCTTTTAAAATGCATGCTGATTTAAAAGAAAGAATAGATTCCTGTCTTAAAGTAGATGTAACTACAAGATGTATAAAAAGTAGACACCGTCACAGAATATCTATATATAGTCAATGATTTCGAGCGTAGTTAGATGTTCTAAGATTGCTTTGTTACAGACCTACGGATATCAGGAGACTGCACAGAAAATGTCGAATGAATCAATTTTGGCAAAGAGTAACGACACGTAAAGGACTGTGTCAGGGAACTTAGACTGGGCCTGGAACGCCACAGCAGGGCAGGAGAGTCCCCTGGGAAGAGGGCAGCGGTTGCTGTGCTGAATTCCCCGGACAAAGGGGCGATCTTTAGTGAGCAGGTGTCGCAGAAAGAAGACAGGTGCCTCTTCAAACCCTCCTGGCTTTCCCTGTGACTCATCTGGGGTCTGTTGGGCAAAACAAACACTTCCCAAACTCAGAACCCGCCACCTGTCCGGTGGCCCCGAGAACACGGCCAGATAATCCATCACAGAGCCTTGGAGGGAGCACGCGTGTCACGAGCGGAATAAGTGTCTGCACGCACACCCTCTCCGTCGCTCCGTCTCCCGGTGACACTCCTGGAGGGGAGAGTTTGTCACCGTTCGACTGGCAAAGGGCAGCGCTGTCTTTTGGAGTTCATCTCCCGATACACATCCATTCCTCCGAAGCAATTACGGTTGAAATCTCTGATTTTAAAGACACACAAAAGCAAGCTGCTCCAAAAGGCTATGGGCTCCCTACTTACCGAGAACAATCTTCGAAGCTGCCGAAGCTGCCAGGGATTGCATCAGTCTGCAGAGTAAGGCGGCCCGTGCAGGGATGAGGCTCCCGGGCCTCCCCCGTTAGCAGGACCACACCCAGCAAGCCGCCCTCTTCCTCCACTGTGACGCTGGTGTCGCTGAACCATGGTCGTGGAGTAAGTGCTAGTCAACCAACACGCCAGCTTGCACCGAAATGATGTGAGGGCGTGGGAGAGAGCAGGGAACAGAGGCCTCGCCTCGAAGGGCTCCACCCTCCAAATGGCCCTGCTTTTTAGTGGACCTGTTGCAAACGGGGGCCGCTCACCAGGCAGCCGCGGC